CCAGCCTCTCCCCAGCCCCTCCCTTTAATCCCATTTTCCACCACCTCCCGCCCCACCCCAGCCTTCCTTTGGCACCCCCTCTGCTGTGTCCTCACTGGTGGTGACTTAACTTTGGGCAGGAGCTGTGTGTACCCAGGACTGGTGTCTCCTCTGACCCCCTACTCCAGTCCCCTAAACACTAGACCCTCTATAGCTTAGTGGCCCAGGGGAGCTGCTAGGTGGAGCAAATGATTGATTTCTCAACTGACATTCAGACCTTCCAGAGGCCCCTATACATGGAAGCTGCCGGTACCACTCCCCCTTCTCTACTACCACTGCCGCAGCAAAGTTGGGACTATTCGTCTCTCTTTTCACAACATCTTCAACTAATGACAATAGTAATAAAATAACAGTACTGCCAGCTGGCGTATGGAAAGATGCTTGGTTGCATTAGTCAGCAGTGAGAACCAATGAAAGCTGCGATGAGATTCCCTTTTGCCTTATCCAACTAATGTTGTAAAACATTTACAAATCTGACTCTTAGAGTAGGCAGATAGCCAGAAATAAGCAGGCAAAGGAGCTTTTGGGAAAAGAAATCTTGAAGACTCGGTTCTCTGATAGTCAGTGCCACCCACTGGCAGCCAGCAAAAAGACAATGGCTACACTGGCCACTTCTGGCCTTGTTGTTGGGCTCCTCTGGCCCTAAAGGGAACTTATGAGGCCCTACCCAGAGATAACCTTGGTAGGGGCTTTCCCACTGATGAGCATGCGCACTCCTCCACTAACGCGCCCTACAGTAGCCTTTTGCTCATTATAATAATAAGCTGGGCATAGTGGCTCACGCCCGTAATCCCAGCACTTTGAGTCCGAGGTGGGCGGATCGTGAGGTTAGGAGTTCAAGACCAGCCTGGCCAATATGGTGAAACCCTGTCTCTGCTAAAAAAAAATACAAAAATTAGCCAGGCATAGTGGCACGTGCCTGTAGTCTCAGCTACTTGGGAGGCTGAGGCAGGAGAATCGCTGGAACCTGGGAGGCAGAGGTTGCAATGAACCGAGATCGTGCCATTGCACTCCAGCCTAGGTGACATAGCGAGACTCTGTCTCAAAAAAAAAATATATACATCTATATATATATATAGTCAAAACACACCCCTGAGTGGAGACTTTAAATGCTAATGAGACATGCAATGTGTTTACTAGCATGTACAACCACAGAACATTCATGGCCAAAGTGACCACCTAAAACATGATTGTAAGTGACACTCACTCATGCCCCTTCACAAATAATCATGTAAGATTCTCATAAAGAGGGTCACCCGGCACCAGCTGCTGCTGGCTCATTCTTTCAGAGTGTACTGTCTCTTTAAATAAACACTGCTACTGCTATTTTTCGCCTGATGCTGTTTTCCAGCGGAACCAGCCCACCGGCTCTTTTCCAGCCAGGTCAGCCCACTCCTTTCTAGGAATGTACTCTCTCTCTCTTCAGTAAACTCTGCAACTTAACCTTTGATGTATGTCTCTTGGCTGAAATCTTTCTTCCAAGCAGACAAGAACTGAAGATTCCCGCACTTCCCTGTAATGTGACCATAGGAAATATTGGCATAAGCATGAAACAACAGGAATTTTCCTGTGTCTGCCAGCAGTATATGTTGGCTTAATGGCATTGGGGCACGATTTGGCAAATTTAGTGGAGTTGAAGAAACACAGAACCTGTATAACCCTCCAGTTCTACTTGTGGGTATGTGCACTAGTGCATGCATCAGGAGACACAGTGAAACTGTCTCTGTTTGGGATAGTGAGAAACTGGAATAACTAAGGTCTCCATCCATCAAGAGAAATCACAAATGTAATATGTTGATACAATGGAATACTATACAGTTCTGAAGATGAATGAATTAGAGTTACAGGTAACCAACCTGGATATAACTCAAATGTTGAGTCAAAAAGCAAGGTTGAGAATGATCTGTGTAGCAAAGTGCCATTAATCAGTGCCATTTAGATAGAATTTAGAAACGTATTTGACTAGACCTGGCATCCCCCACTTTCCCAGCCCAATGACATGTAGCTGCACTCTGGGCAGTGTGTCTTGTGGAGAGGATGGACTATTCTTGACCAGGCTGGCACCTCTTCTCACCCCACCCCGATACCACCACCCCAATACTGCAGCAGGGCTGCCATCCTTGGGTTGTCAGGATATAGGAAGCTGCTGTCAAATAGTGCTTGCTCTTCTTCTTCCTCCAGCTCTAGGTCTTACCTGTGGGGGGAAATGGAGGGTCCTCAAGGCCCGAGGAGAGTGGTGTGAATAGACCCATCTCTCACAGTGAGCTGTCACAGAGGCTGGGACTTTGGCAGCCTTGATGGGGGTTCCTTGAGGCAGGAGGAATATGGGACAAGAACCATGGGAAGAGAAGGAAAGAGCTGAAGAAGAGCCGCAGGAAGGAGAAAACAGAAGGGGAGGGAGAGAAACGGATGCCCTGATTCAGGGATCTTGGAGTGTAGCCATTGACATCCAGGGGTCAGATCTGAAGGCCCAGGCAGGACATGTAATAGAGGCCTGTTTGCCCTTAGTGGGGGCTGTGTCCTCTCTGTGGCATGCCCCCTGCTCTGTCTTTGGTGGGTCATTTCACCTGTGCAATGCCTGGGGCCCCAAAGCAGAAGAAGGGCTGGACTGAGGAGTTCTGTCTCCCATCCATTCCCCACCCTTTCTATCTGTGGTCAGCAAGTTTCCCAGAGTCCCCATGAAGGGCCTTAAATTATTCATCTTTTGTTATATTTGTCTTCTTTAGTGGACTTACCCCCACCTTGCTCCCCTGCCATGTCCCTATAAGGTCGCTAGACCCAAGCAGGGCCAACTTTCTATAGGATTTTCTAACCGAGTCTGTGGTGAATAGGGCTGTCTGGTGTCTGAAGTTGCCCGATAAGGGGCCCAGGCACTGTGGGCTGCCGTGCTCCTCGTCATGGGGAGTGTAGTGACTACAATTTACTGTCAGAATTGCATGACAATCACCTAATGAAATAATGTAACCGCAATTATTATTTAGGGCTTCTTACATGCCAGGTGCAGTTAATGCTGCACATATACCAATGCATTTTAGCCTTGAAACTACCTAATACGGGAGACACGCATGTTATTATCAGTTTACAGATAAGGAAACTGAGAGAAACAAACTCACCCAAGAGGTAGGTAGGAGAACTGGAATTTGAACCTGCACGGCCAGATTTCCCGGACTGTGTACTTCATCTCTGCCATGTACACGGTTCAGATGCTTCCGGCGTCTAATACACGCCAGGCATTCTGCTTGGTGTTTGCTGTTCTTGTGCCAAGTCTAGCACGCTCCTGCCTCAGGACCTTTGCATTTGCTGTTCCTTGTACTTTTCGGCTCTTCCCCTGGGTATCTGCAGGCCTCCCTTTCTCACTTCCTTCAGGTGTCAGCTCAAATGTCACTTTATCAGGAGGCCTCTTCTGTCCACCCTGCATAAAACAGTGTCACTTCTCCTTTGCTCTGGCAACTTCCTTCCCCCATCTCCTGCGTTGTGAAGGCCCTCAGCACTCAGTATATCTAGGGTTACTTGCTCATTGTCTGTCTTCTCTCAGGAGGAGGTAAGCTCTGAGACAGCAGACTTCTGTTTCATTCTCAGCACACTGATTAGGGCCTGGCACAGAGTCAGGTTTCAACCACGTTTCAGGATTGAATGAGGGTGGCTACAATAGTGGACCATTAGCTTCCTGTCCCCAGCGAGCTCAAATTCTAGTAGGGACAACTAGCAACCATCAAGGAAGCAGACACACAAACCCACACACATACACGCACACACAGACACGCACACATGCACACACTCATGCACACACGCACACATGTGCACACACATGCACACACACAGACACACGCACGCACACACGCACACCCACACCCACATAGGTGAACACACACACACACCCACACACGTTTTCAGGTAGCAGTAAGTACTATGAAGAAAACTTAAGTGGCGTGGGGGAATGAGAGTGATGGAGGTGCTTTTATGGATAGAGTGGTCCAGAGAGGCCTCTTGAAGGTAAGCAGAGACTTGAATGAATTAGGGAGCTTTGTGTGGTCAAAGCCCAGAGAGGTGCTGGAGCAGAGTCGGCTTACGCGATCTGGGGTGATGAGGTCAGAGGGGGCGGCAGGGATCAGCTCACGCAGGGCCCTACAGGGCGAGGGGGCTTGCAGGGGCAGATGGGACCCACCTCCAGTTAGTGGAGAACCAGCTCCATGCTTTTCTGCTGTTTAGCTTCCTGTGGCTGCTGAAACAGATCACTGCAAACTTGATAATTTAAAACAACAGAAATTTATTTTCTCATAGTTCTGAAGTCCTGAAGTCTGAAATCAAGGTATTGGCAGGACCACGCTTCCTCCGGAGGCTCCAGGGGGAGAATTTCTTCCTCGATTCTTCCAGCTTCTGGTGGCTGCTGGCATTCCTTAACCTGTGGTCACATCGCTCCAAACTCTGCCTCTGTGGTCACACTGCTTTCTCTTCTTCTACATCGAAGCTCCTTCTGTATCTTTCTTGTAAGGATACTTAACATCTCTTTTAGGGCTCACTTAGATAATCCAGGCTAAACCCCCACCCCTATCTCAAGATTCTTAATTTAATCACACCTGTATAGTGTTTTTTTTTTTTTTTTTTTTTCCTTTTTAACATACAAGGTAACAGTCACAGGTTCCAGAGATTAGGACATGGATATCTTTGGGGTAGGGGTTATATTCAGCCTACCTTCCCTACCCTTTCTAATGTCTGGTAATTCAATGATTTATTCCATTCTCAGACTAAATTATTGTTCTCTCTGGCTTAGTTCAAGCTGTTTTTCTGTTTGTTGTAATGAAAAACATCTAGACTCATCTACTTCCCGCTATAGTGCTAATAAATGTTTGCCTGGAAAGAGAAAAGGGAATTAACATGTATGGAGTGCATGCAGTGCATACAGCACATAGTCGGCCCTCAGTAAATGCAGAATTGAATTGGTTCTTTTTTTTTCTTTTTTTGAGATGGAGTTTTGCCCTTGTTGCCCAGGCTGGAGTGCAATGGCGCTATCTCAGCTCACTGCAGCCTCTGCCTCCCAGTTCAAGCGATTCTCCTGCCCCATCCTCCCAAGTAGCTGGGATTACAGGTGCCCGCCACCATGCCTGGATAATTTTTTGTATTTTTAGTAGAGACGGGGTTTCACCATGTTGGCCAGGCTGGTCTCAAACTCCTGAACTGAGGTGATCCACCTGTCTCGGCCTCCCAAAGTGCTGGGATTACAGGCATAAGCCACCGTGCCTGGCCTTGAGTTGGTTCTTACACAATGCAGAAAAGTCCACATTAGTATCCTGGATGTTCTGTGACGTGAAGAGACTCTGATTAGTCACTAAGGGCGCACAGGGAGGGGGCAGAGGCCTCGGGGTTAAAGGCAGGTGTGTCTGACTCCTGGGCATACACACTCTTCCCCATGTCAGGGCTTGTCAGTCCACTAGATGGTGGTAGCACCCCCCAGGTTGTGCCAACCAAAAACATCTCTAGACATTGCCAAAAGTCCCATGGGGACAAAATCACTCTTCTTGGAAACTACTGCCCCACATCATGCTGCCCTAGGGGAGGTGATGGTGGGAAGAAGTGCTGGCCAGCTAGCTGGGCATTAAACTCAGGTGTACCACAGGGCAGGTGAGAGGCTGCCTGTATGCCGCTGTGGTGGAGATAACTGGTTATCTCCTGATTTCTACCATCCGGTTTCTCTAGTGAAAACTTGCAGCTGGACGCATTGCTGCCAGAAATAAAGACTACATTTCCCAGCCTTTCTTGCAGCTAGGTTGTGACCATGTGACCCCATTCCAGCCAAGCAGAGGTAAGTGAGGTGGCCAAGTTCCTGACTGTGCCCTTAAAGGGGAGGGTCCTGCTCCCCTTCCCTGCCTTCTTCTCCAATCTGGCTGCCTAGAAGGTGGACCTGGTAGCAACGAGATCAATGAATCCTGAGTCTCAAAACCAGGGAGTCTCTGTATTGCTTGGCCTGCTGATGGTCAACTTTCTGGTTGATTTCCACTGGTTTAAGCAACTATTTAAGAGTTTTGTTATATTTGTTGAACCTGCATTCTAATATTACACCCACTCAAGCCAGCCATGAGGGGGATGGAAGGAAGGCAGGAAGGGGTGGGGAGAAGGGTGTAGATGGAGGAGCTCAGATGGTCTGGCTGGTTGAGCTCAGAGATGCTTAGGGACACCTCCTGGGAAGAAGACTCTGAGTTGGATGTTGGAGGCCAAGAAGGATGTGGTGAGGTGGGGAAAGGGGCAGAGCTCACCAGAAAGGGCTTCAGCAGGGGCAAGGGTGTTGAGGAGAGACTGAGCCAGAGACTGAAAAGCAAGGAGGTCTTGAACAGGCCAAAAGGAGAAAGGGAGACACTTTAGAGGGAAGCCCAGTGCAAAGAGGGGAATTTCACTGGGTGGACCAAAACCAGATGTAGGGATCTAGGAGTTCGTCATGAGGCCTGAGGGCATCTGGAGGCTGGGACTGGAGGTAGGGAAATGGTTGAGGAGCCCTGGCTCCTCTCCAACTCAGAGGATCCCCAGTCTTGGGCTGACCCCTCACTCTTGACCCTTGCTCCATGCTAAGGTGTTCATGGCTTCTGCTGGGTCTGTGGTCTTGACATCTTCTTGCCCAGGGCTCCTCCGAGAGGTAGCCAGAGCCAGGAGGAGTGCAGCCAATGTAATTGCCTTCAGCCCCAGGACTACAGGTGCAAACACAACCAGGAGGCCTGGTAGGCACAGGAGAGAGCTCAGGCGGGACCCATGGTGAGGGCCCCACAACCCACACCTCAGTGCTGCCCATGGGCAAGGTCACATCCTGCTGCTGTATAACCTCTGGAGCTGTATCCTTTCTACATTGAAAGACGAGATCAAAGACCATCCTTCCCTCTGCCCTGGGCCCAGAGAAGGGTTGCCCAATATTCTACCTGCACCTGTAATCATCTCAGTCACACCCCTAACCTCTGCTCTTCCTGATTGCCTAATGCAATCCTCAAGGTAATCCTACAGTGTAGGATAGTGATCCAATTTTTATAGATAAGGAGACAGACCCAGAGTGGGGAAATGATTTTCTCAGCGCCACACGTGTTAAAGAAGTCACGGGACCCAGGCAGTCTGGCCCCCATGAATGGTAGGAGCAGGGCCGAGCATCGGGAAGGCAAATCTGACCACGTCTATCACAAGCTCCCAGCAGATACTGAGAGCCCTCGAATGTTAACAGGAGATGTGCCAGGCACAATTCTGGACACTTGGCATGTGTGATCTCATTGAGTGCACACACAACCCCATGAAGTAGGCTCTCTGATTCTTGTCCTCTCCTCCCTAGTTCATAGAGTCAGATACCAGATTCAAGGGGCAAGAACCTGCCCATCACATTAGGAAAGGGCTCCACCCAGGAGGCTTAGCTACAAAGCCATGTTCTCCAGTGTTGCTGTGCATAGCCTCACAGCCCTACACTCAGATTCACAGGGAGCTCACCGCCTCTCAAGCAAAATTTCCCACTAAACAGTTACATGGCCCTGGCTATGAGAAAGTTCGTTATAACTGAGCTGTTATAACATGGTTCTCTGGGGTCCTAGTTCTGCAGTTGAGATGAAGTCCTGGGAGCTTTCTTGGTGGCAGATTAGCCCCAGGAGTCTGGGACTGCTTCCTTCCCATGACCAAGCCATTCATGGCCCCCTTGCCTGTGGGGGACTCATTGACTCCACTGAGGTGGGTACACTCACCTGTTGGAGACATCTCAGTTGCATGTTCACTGGTGAATTCTGCCTCTTGGGAAGAGGTAGATTTTGCTGCAAGGGAGAGAGGCTTTCTCATACTTCCCTTTATCTCCCACCACTTCCTAAGTCCTAGGAGCTGGGGTCTCTGGGATGAGTCTGCCAGTTTCTACCTGGGTGCAGGCTAGAAGTCAAACCCTGCAGCTAGGAAGGACAAAGTTAGACTTTCTACTGGAGCACCTTTAGAGTATGGACATGTCTAATTCATTGCAGTGTCTCCAGTACTTAGTACAGTGCAGACACTCAACAGGCATGTAGTAGATGTTTGTTGAATTATTATTGTTACTATTATTTTTTGAGATGGAGTTTTGCTCTTGTTGCCCAGGATGGAGTACAATGGTGCTGTGATCTTGGCTCACCGCAACCTCCGCCTCCCAGGTTCAAGCGATTCTCCTGCCTCAGCCTCCCAAGTATCTGGGATTACAGGCATGCACCACCACGCCTGACTAATTTTGTACTTTTAGTAGAGACGGGGTTTCACCATGTTGGTCAGATTGGTCTTGAACTCCTGACTCAGGTGATCTACCCACCTTGACCTACCAAAGTGCTGGGAGGTCAGGAGTGAGCTATGGCACCTGGCTGATGTTTGTTGAATTATTAATGATCTATACAGAGTTCTGTGGCAACCAGAATGGGGAGAAATTAACTCTGCTTGAGAGGAGAAAGTTTTACAGAGGAGGGGCCATTTGTGCTGGGCCTTGAAGGATGAGTAGGAGTTTTCAGAGAAAAGGAGAAAGCATTCCAGGTAGAGGGAAAAACTTATGGAAAGACATGGAGGCTGGGAAGAACTGACTTGTTCGGGACATGTAGAAAAATTCCTCATGAATACCTGCTCCTCTCCCCCGACAACTCCAAAACCAATTGTCTCACCTTTCACTTTGAGCCTGGTGCCCTGTCCAGACAGGTATTGCCTGTTGGGTTTCCTCTGAAACTTTACACAGTAATAGGTGCCTGCGTCCTCACTGGAGACGTTTTGCAGAAGAATGCTGAAGTCATTGTTGGAGGCCCGCACTGCTGTCGCCTTGGGGTGGGAGATACCTCCAAAGTTGTAAATGGCCTCCCGGCTCACACCAGCTCCCTGGAACCACCTGATGGGTCCGGGGGGACCGTCTCCAAGCACTGTGCAGTTCAGAAAGACCGTGCCTCCAGTGGTCCCCAACACCAATTCCTGGGGCTGGATGATCCACAGGTCTGGTTCAGGGTCCCCAGCTCCTGAAGCCAAAGAGGAGGTCCTTGTTGGATTCCATCTCCTCTTCCATTGTTCACTCATTTCCTCCCTGATGTTTTCCCTCCCTTCCTTCTTTCCAGATTTCTTCACTCGGCCACTCCCTCCTGCTTTCTTTATTACTCATTAGTTGACTCGTTCTGTAAAAAAGCTCTGTGTACCTACTACATACCAATGGTAGGACTGGGGAACATGAAACTCAGAAAGACACACAAGTGCCCAGCCCTGAAGCCATTCTCTGTCTTCCAGTGGAGATGGTCAAAAAATTGCCCAGAGGTGGAAACCCAGAAGACAGCAGGACTACAGAGGAACCATTATGGCTTGGAAGAAGCCAGTGAAGCCTTCCTGAATCTGGCATCAAGTTAAAATGAACTCCCACGTACAGATACTCTCCATGTCACCAGTTTATGGGGTGGTTCCACAAGCATCCATTCTATTTAATCACCCAAATGACTCTTGAAGTACAAATTGTATTGCCTGTTTTTCAAGCATAGCACTTGAGGCATGTAGAGCCAGGGTAACTGACATAAGAAGGAATTGCTATTCAATGACAGGCCCAGGATTTGGGTATTCAGGTCACCATAGGTGGACTTACAGATGCCATGATTGATTACTTGGGGAGTGTGGTAGATGACATGATCAGCCTCAGGTTTTGACTCTGTGCTTGTAATAGGGTACATCTACACTCTTACCTTGGCTGCATGGTGGAAGAGTATTCTTCCTTGTCCCTTGACTTGGAGCTGAGCCACGTGACTTGCTTTAGCCAATGGGCTGTTAGCAGACATAATGTGAGTAGATGCTTGAGGTGTACTTTAAGAGTTGGGACTGGGCTTCTGCTTCTGCCATCTCTATGAGAAAAACATGCCCCACGTAGTTGCTACCTCTCCAGTCTGGGCTCTGGCATGAGACATGAGGAGTGGAACCACCCAGCCACATGTAAATGTGCATACAAATATGTATTGTTGTATGCTGCTGCAATTTTGTGTGATACAGCATGATACAGTGGATAAAGGTGACTGTGCAGGGAAATAGACCAGAGCAAATGTGTGGTCTGCAGGGCCTGATACTCACCCTTCACAAGCACTGAGGTGCCTTCATCCGATTTCATTTCTGAATATTCACTCAAACCATCAAACCTCACACAGTGATAGGTTCCAGTATGCTCCTTGGTGACATTGTGGATATAGATGGAATAATCGCAATTCAGTGGTTCTGATGTCCGTTGGATCATGGGCATCACCCCGGGGAAGGAGCCACGTTTAAAGTTATAAATTTCTTGTTGGTCCTTAGTGCTCACCTTGACCCATTTTATCATACCATCGGCATCGGCGCAGGAGCTGACCACCATACACCTCAGTAGGAGTGTCTCGCCTTCTGCCACCAGCATCGGGCCCTCAGGCTGTAACACCTGCCCGTCATTCCTGCTGCTCTGCCCAGAGGCATCTACAAAAGAGGAAGAAAGACCTTGCACTGGGCAGGAAGGACTTGGAGCACTAAATGACAAGCTTAAAACAATCAAACCATCATCTGGCCAAGAACAATGGCCCAGGACAAGACAGGAGTGTCATTAGAGAGGGAAGGGAAAGAGGGGACAAGATGGCTGGCTGCAGAGAGGGAACTGAGCTATGCAATGGAAAAACCTACAAAGAATAAATAACACTCAAGTGCTCACCATGTGTTGGCTCCTGCATGCATGATGTCACTTATTCTTCACAATGCTCCCGTAAGGTAAACGGCATTATTCCCATTTTTCGACAGAGGAAACTGAGGGCCCAGAAAGGTTAGGCAGCTGTCCCAGGATCATCTGCTAAGACTGTGTCTCCCAAATGCACATGTTGATGTCCTAACCTCCAGTACCTCAGAATGTGACGTATTTGGAGATAGGGTCTTTAAGGAGGTAATTCAGTTAAAATGAGGTCATTGGGGTTGGGCCTTAATCTCATCCAACTGGTGTCCTTATAAGGAGAGGAAAGTTAGACACACACATACGGGGTAAGACCATATGAAGATACAGGGAGAAGGCGGCCATCTATAGGCTAAGGAGAGAGGCCTCAGACAAACCAGCCCTGTAGACATCTTGATCTCAGTTTCCAGCCTCCAGAATTGTGAGAAATTACATTTATATTGTTCAAGTCACCCATGCCATGCTACTTCATTATGGAAGCTCTGGCAGACTCATACATCACCCAATAGGAGAGTGACAGGCTTGATTCAAGCCCTGTCAGCCTGTTTCTGGAGCTCTGGCTGTTAATCTTCAAATGCCACCCTTCAGAGACGTAGGTTTGTGTGTTGCGGGGTTCAGTGTAAATACCCTTCCTGCCTCCTGTGAATTCTTCAGCAGACTGCAGTTCATGTTAATGTGTTGTGAAGTGAGTCTATTTTGAAGACAGGTTGAACTGTTGAGTGTGTCCTCAAAGTGCATATAGAGAAAGAGGGCTGAGGCCTCCCATGGGTGTTCTGGGTCAAAAACATCATCACATGTACTCCTTCTAACAATTCTGTGAGGTAGATGCTGTTATAATCTCAGTTTAAAACTTTTCCATTTATTATTTATTTTTAATTTTTTTTTGTAGTGATGGGTACTCACTATGTTGCCCAGGCTGGTCTCAAACTCCTGTGCTCGAGTGATTCCTTCCCCTTGGCTTCCCAAAGTGCTGGAATTACAGGTGTGAGCCACCATGCCCAGCCTATAATCTCCATTTTTGAGATGAGAAAGAAAACGAATGCTCACAGTGGTAAAGAAACATGAGGTGAACCATGCATTCAGTAGATACCATGTCCAGGATTTGAACTCAGATCAGGTGACTTAAGATTCTGCTCAACTCAAGGTCAGCAGTTTTGTATCCCGAGTTTCCTTTTTGTCTGTATTCCCATCAGCCTTTGTGAATAGCTCAGTCACACTCCACATATTTGTTTGCAGTATATCCTGGTGTTTCTCAGTCGTGAATGAGGCAAGGAGAGTAAGAAGGTGAAGCAAACATTCCCTTCTAAGAGGATCTAGGAAAGAGTTACGGAATTCTAAATTCTATTTCTACCTATCTTCAGCTAGGCATGTGCTGTTAACCACCAAGAAAAACTTTCTCACAATTGTGACGAAGTGATAACCGCATGTTGAATCCTAGGGATTGCTTTTCTCCTTGATGTCCTTAGTTTCAAGAAATTCAGCAACATCCACTCTCAAGCATTATTTGAGCCAGTCAGATCTGTTATCACTAATCCTTCCTGTTGTTTTTTTCCCTGGCCTCGGGGAATTTCCTCACACACATGCGCAGAACTGTGCCCATTTCTCAGCACAGGGCTAAGAATGGTGCCTGTTCCCACTAGCCGTACTGGTAAAACCCATGATTGTCAGGGCACTGGGGAAACTCCACAGAAGAGAGTATGCAGCCCAGAAAGAAGTGTTCTGGTCCACCCAAGAAATCCTAAAAGCAAGGCCCCAAATGGATTTAAAAAAATAACATTCTATTGTGAGGCTTCTGACACATGTATAACTAGAAGTTATGACATCAGTAGAATAAAGACTGGGAGGGGAGAAATGTGAGTTTACTACTGTAAGTTTCTTTTTTTTTTGGTATCCATCACCTGAGTATTTATTATTTCTATGCGTTGGGTACATTTCAGGTCCTCTTTTGTAGCTATTTTGAAGAACATAATACATTGTTATGAATTATAGTCACCCTACTCTGCTATCAAACATTAGAATTTATTCCTTTTATCTAACCGTGTGTTTGTACCCATTCACCAACCTCACTCTTAATCCCTCTCCCTCAGACCCATCACCTTTCCTAGTCTTTGGTATCTGTCATTACACTCTCTACTTTCATGACATCATTTTTAGCACCTGCATAGTTGTCTTTCTGTGTCTGGCTCGCTCGCTTTCTTTCTTTCTTTCTTTCTTTCTTTCTTTCTTTCTTTCTTTCTTTCTTTCTTTCTTTCTTTCTTTCCTTCCTTCCTTCCTTCCTTCCTTCCTTCC